TGCTCTAGTCCTCCTGTGAGCCTGAGGAGTGTGTGATGCCCTGACAATGCTCTGCTGAAACTTCGTGGAATCTCACTCATTTTCTCGTTGGATTTTGTTCAGCTCTTCGTCAGATGTCAGATGGAGGCTGTTTCAGATTTACTCATCACCTTCCACTCCCAGGTTCTAATGATAAAATCTTGGAAGGGGGGATGTTGGAGATGACCTGCCTATACTGTACCCTTGTCATTGACTCAGGGAGGCTGAGTGACTTCCCAAAGCAGAGTCCCGGTCTCCCAACTCCTCCTCAGAATTTTCTTCATCACTCAGATGAGGGCATGGCTGATTTGGGGTCCCTTCTGGTGGCCTACAGTGGGGTAAGCTGCTGCCTCATGAATGCTTCTTCAATCCCAAACCTCATATTACTTTTCTACCCATAATCTGCATTGCATGATTTCAGAATACATAGGAATTCCTCTCGTCAGTAAACATTTTCTTCCCAGAACTCCTGGCACCTGCATCCCTTCTGCTCAGGTACTAGGCAGGCTCTGCTCCTGACCCAGATAGGCCTCTGTGTTGCAGGAGCCAGCCTGACCGGGGAAGACCCACCTTGCACAACTGGGCTCTGTGTGTGCAGTCCCCTAAAGGCCGGCTGAAGGCCTGCTGGGGCCCTATCATCTGCCTCTAGACACCTCAGCAGCCAAGGCAGAGGAAGTGAGTCACCGCAAGGCAGGCAGTGTTTGAGGCACTGAGGGTGGGGCCATGCCAGCCTGGGGGAGGGGGTGAGTGGGAAGGGCGGTGACCATAATTCCTTGGTCCAGCAGTGGGGTGTGTGGGTTCCAAGTGTGCTGACGGCAGTGGCATCATCCTGATGCTGGCTGAGACCTAGTGTCCCTTCTCCATTCACCTTCTCCTTGCCTCCTGGGGAGGGGTACACCCTCTTATCTTTATTTCTCAGGCCCTAGCTGTCTAACTTCCGCCCCAAAGTTTTCCCTCCCCACTGCTATCTTAAGGAAAAAAAAAAGTTAACCAGTCTTCAGGCCTCCTGAGAGCGCATTTAAAACGCTTGATGGGGGCAGAGTATAGCTAGGACAGCTGCCTCAGGAAAGGGTTCAGAAGCTGAAGAAGGGGAGCCAAGCAGGACAGAGGTGGGGAGGAGGGGTTAGAGAAGGATCCAGAGGTTAGCTGGGTTCCCAGGAGACACTGGAAAAGGGTGGGTGTGTGCAGCAGATGGGGCATCTCAGGAGGGCACCCAAGAAAGCTGGAGGGAACTCTGGAAATGGAAGGTTGCCTGAGGGGAGTTAAAAGTGGGGTGGGGGGGAGACAGAAGACATGCTAATAAGGGAGGAGTTCGCAAGAGGCAAAGGCGGCAGGGCAGGAGGCATTGCAGGGGCTGGAAACCAGGCAGGTCTAGAGAAGACTGGACAGGCTCCTGTGGGCTCCAGGCCCAGCGGGTGGGCCAACATGTCAGTTTTCGGGGGGCAGGCCTGGGCTGGGGGCCTCACTGCAAAAGAGCAAAGGAACAAACAGGTTGGAAACCAGTCAGCTGCTGCCTCTCCATCCCTGCAGACTGGGCCTCCAGGTGAGGGCCTGGCTCCCACACCGGCTGGGTGGAAGGTCACACTCCTTACTAAGACAACTGTCAAAAGCATCTGAACTTGGCCAGAGAAATCGTAAAACACACCACGATTAGAGGTTCTAACTAGGACACCGGAAAAACGCCAACATTTCATCCAGGTGGAAAACACGGACTTTCTACCTCCACGAGGAAGGAAGCGCCAAGCCAATCGTCAGACACGTCTTAGTCATCTTCGTTCATGCTGGGACTCAAGGACAGTTTTCTAGGATAAACAGGCTTCCTCTTGCGGAAACATCAATTTTACCAGATCATTAAAGGAAAAACACTTTTTAGTGTGAAAACGAACACCGATAAACGTAGCGAGATTGAGAAACACATTCACGAAACAAAGCTGGGGGTTGACTCAGACTTTGACACGGGGATTGTGAGCAGCTCAGGGTGTACTCTGCCGTGGAAGGTAGGTTCCACAGTGCTTGTGCGGAAACGTGGCTCCTGTTTTTTGGGGCAGGGGCGCCCTAGAGATTGCTGGCTCTGCGCAGGGAAGGGCAGTTGAGTCAGAAGGGCCCGCTGCCACTGCAGACCCTTGAGAGGTGCTGGGATTCGGCGCGCGGCTCTGGGCAGGACTCCCCGGTGCAGCCCCGCTCGGAGCCCGGGCTGCCCTCCTCCCTCCGCTGCTGAGGGGGGCTGGAGGTGGGAGGTGTAGCAATCGGCTGGGCTGAGGAACTGGGGACCGCAGAGGAGGGGCGGAGGTCTTGGACCGCAGGCGGGGTGGAGCAGGGCCACTCTGCGCCCAGGATCCGGGCACCAGGGTCTGCCCCGGGGTCCCGCGGGCTACATCTCGCCCCTAACGGAGAGACCAGAGTGGCTAGAGGAGCCCCCATTTTGCCTTCCCTCACCAGGGGCCTTCTCCCCTAGGTGGTGATTAGAGTGGGCG